TATATATACATATATATATATATATATATATATATATATATATATATATATATATATATATGTATGTATGTATGTATGTATGTATATATATATATATATATATATATGTATGTATATACATGTATATATTCTGAAACAAATGGTTTAGTAATTGTTTTATTTTCTATTTTTGTGTGTTAATATAAAATTTAAGAATACATTATTAATTATTTTATTTCATATTAATCAAGCATGTATTTATTACTTTGTCAGGGGTCTCAAACTCGATTTGGCGTGCCGTTTCAGGGACATACAAATTAAATGAGGGCCGTCTTAAAATCAGTAAATGATGATTGTGATCACGTGAAGGGGGGTGCAGTAGTAGTACCGTGGTGAAAGACACATGCAAGCTGAAGAGCAGTGTGTGTGTGTGTGTGTGTTTTGTGCAGAATGTGCGTCTGAAGACGGCACTGCTGGATTATATCAAGCGTTGTCTGCCTGGCGACAGCGAGAAGCACAACATGGTGGCGCTGTGTTTCAGCATGTGCCGAGAGATCGGAGAAAACCACGAGGCGGCGGCCAGAACACAACTCAAACTCATAGAGTCTCAGCCCTGGGGTGAGGACACACACACAGACAGACATATCATACAGACCATACTCGCATACACAAACATTTCTCACACACACACACACATACCATACTCACATACACACATGTACCTCGCCACTCACACACAGCTACACACACAAGTTCGTTTCAATTTGTCAGTATCTTAGTGAGGACATTACATGGACTTCCACTGTTTTTCTCTCTGGTTAATGATAGTGGCCTAACCCTAGCCCTAACCTTAACCCTAAACCAACCCTCACAGAAACAACTGCACATCATCAATTAATTTATTAAATCATCTTCTAGTTCATTTATAAGCTCGTTTATTAAAGAGGAGCAGTGAAATGTCAACACTAGTGGCTCGTTTTGATCTCTTATATAAGTGAGAACGGTTGAGACCTCACAAGTATAGCTAAACCAGTACGCACTCACACATACACACAAAGACGCACACACGCACATTTATATACATAAACACACTCATACACACACTAAGCACTTATACTGACATACTCATACATATTTAAACACACTTGCATACACATAAACACACATAAACACACACAAACACACACACACACACACACACACACACACACTTACACAGGTGTTCAGGTGCTCATGTTATGTGTGTGTGTGTGTGTCAGTGATCACAGCAGAGCTGAAGAAGGCGTTAGTGAAGGTGCAGACGCTCCTCAAAGACGCAGCTGAGAGCTACTCAAAGGTACAGCAATGATTGATTGATTGATTGATTGATTGATTGATTGATTGATTGATTGATTGATTGACATCAGCTTATGTCAGAATACAGATAAGAACCAGTTATGTGTGTGTGTGTGTTTATTTTTTTACATATGTTTTTCTCGTATTTTTCAAGACGGGATAGTTTCATATGTCATTGCGTGTGTGTGTGTGTGTGTGTGTGCACAGGACTCGTGTGTCCGTCAGGCTGTGCGCTGTGTGAAGCTGGCGAAGCTGGTGACTCTGCAGCTGCACTTCCTGAATCAGGGCCTGGAGCTGCGCATCATCAACCTGCAGCACACAGACCTGCAGAACACCAGCAACACACTGCCACACTGCTACCAGGTGCGCGCACACACACAAACACACACACACTCACACACATACATATATACACACACACATATTTATATATAAATATACACACAGGTTTGTTTCACTCTCCTAGTGAGGACATTACATAGACTTCCATTGCTTTTCTCTCAGGTTAATGATAGTGGCCTAACCCTAGCCCTAACCTTAACCCTAAACCAACCCTCACAGAAACAACTGCACATCATCACATAGTAATAAACACACCATAAAACACAAGATAAATCCATGACATCTCCATCTCTGTGTTGATTTAAAGGCACAGTGTGTCATTTTCAACACTATCTCATCTGAAAATACCTTAGATTGTTCATCAGCCAATCAGAATTAAGCGTTCAGTTGCCGTGTAGAATATGATGCATCTTCCTAAGCTGTTTAGATTCGGATATAAACATAGACCATACACCATACTTTCATTACTGGATTGTAATGTCAATATAGTAAATATTGTCAAATGAACTGTGTGCGTGTGTGTGTGTCTTTGCTCAGGTGTTCGTGTTAGCAGAGGCGTATGACTTCAGTCCAGACTGGGCCGAGGTTTTCTATCAGAAGGTCATCATGAGAGGAGACTTCAGCTACCTGGAGGAGTTCAAGAGGCACAGGCCGCTAGCTGCTAGTCTCTTCCAGGACATCTCCAACAAGTACATGCTAACATCTGCTTCACATACACTTATCACTGTCAGAGCATGCTAACACCTGATTCACATACGACACGTTAACACCTGATACATGAATCGCACTCCGAACATGCTAACACCAGATTCACGTGTCAAGCTAATTCTTGAATGGAGGATTTGAATATGCTAAAGCTAATACATCAGTCTCCTAAATCTCTTAGGGCTCATTCACACCCAACACATTTTTGCTTGTAAAAATGCTTGACGCAGGAATGTGTTTAAAGAAGCGCAGCTTACGCAGTATTATGAATGTGACGTAATAACGACAGTAACGAACCCACTCGAAATCGGAAAACAATAAGTATAAGCGCTTAAATGTACATCATCTGGACAAAGCTACAATGAGAGCCGCCTCCGCCAGGATATAACGATAAATAAAGTTGTCATGGCAACTTCCTACGATAAACTGCTAATGCTGCGTTCACACCAGATGCGGAAGAAGCATCAAGCGCGAGTGATTTACATGTTAAGTCAATGCCAAGACGTGAATAGACATCCTGCGGAGTGATCGCTCAAGTTCGAAAATGTGAACTTCTGCGGACATTCGGACCACGTTACCCAATCAGGAACTTCCTCTAATGGGGGCGTGCTTATGACAAAGCACCTGTTGTTGGTGTCCCGAGGGGAAATCCTCCTGCCTACACCGACTCGGCACCGCTGAAAGCCTCCATCATCAGGTTCAGTTTCTGGAGGAGTTGATGAACTCCTAGAGCTGGGTCCACCTCTGAAAAGAACTAGTGGACTCAGACATGGCTCCAAACTAATCAACGCTGTTTTTCAGCCTTCATAAAGCACATAATCACAGCTATTCTCTCAATAAAATCCATGTTAGCCATTTAGCAACGAAGCTGGAGTCACCGGGCAGACCCGTGAAGCGAATCCACGTCTGTTCTGAAGTGAATTTGACGCGCAAATGAAGCGGATTTGATGTGCGAATGAAGCGGATTTCACTTGCAAATGAAGCGGATTTGACTCGCAAATTAAGCGGATTTGACGCTCAAAGGAAGCCTATTTGGCACGCGAGAAAGAAGTCGGTTTTGACGCGCGAATAAAGCGGATTTTGACACGTGAATGAAGTGGATTTTGACACCAAATCCATTTCAATTGACGTGTGAAAGAAGCGGAATTGACGGGCGAACGAAGCGTAATTAACGCACAAAAGAAACGGAATTGATGCGCGAAAGTAGCGGAATTGACGCGCGAACAAAGCAGATTTTGACGCGCGAATGTAGCAGATTTAAACACACGAACGAAGCAGATTTTGATGCGAGAACGTAGCAGATTTAAACACACGAACGAAGGGGATTCTGATGAGCGAACGTAGCAGATTTAAACACACGAATGAAGGGGATTCCGATGAGCGAACGTAGCAGATTTAAACACACGAACAAAGGGGATTCCGATGAGCGAACGTAGCAGATTTAAACACACGAATGAAGGGGATTCCGATGAGCGAACGAAGCGGATTTAAACACACGAACGAAGGGGATTCCGATGAGCGAACGAAGCGGATTTAAACACACGAATGAAGGGGATTCCGATGAGCGAACGTAGCAGATTTAAACACCCGAACGAAGGGGATTCCGATGAGCGAACGTAGCAGATTTAAACACACGAACGAAGGGGATTCCGATGAGCGAACGTAGCAGATTTAAACACACGAACGAAGGGGATTCCGATGAGCGAACGTAGCAGATTTAAACACACGAATGAAGGGGATTCCGATGAGCGAACGTAGCAGATTTAAACACACGAACGAAGGGGATTCCGATGAGCGAACGTAGCAGATTTAAACACACGAACGAAGGGGATTCCGATGAGCGAACGTAGCAGATTTAAACACACGAACGAAGGGGATTCCGATGAGCGAACGAAGCGGATTTCGACGCGCCAACAAATCGTATTTAACGCATGAATGAATCGGATTTGACGTGCGATTTATCTGCGCGTCTGGTGTGAACACAGCATAAGAACTTTGCAATGCTTGCCCCGCCTCCGAGCTCTTCTGATTGCTCCACTCCTTTTGGAGCTGACAGTGAAGAGCTGCGTGTGAAAGTTGTAGATCTTTCAACTTCGCACGGCATCTAAAAAATGCGTCGTTCACGTGTGCAGCATTTGAGACGCAAACGTAACAGTCTAAAGTATCCGCCAACGACTTCATATGGTAAGTGAGTCTCGCCTTCTAGTACAGGGGCCAATCATCCATCATTATAGACTTCTCCGGGGGAGGGGCTCAGTCCAGACGTGAGTTTCTGCAGATTTTGTGTCATTGAAACGTTTAGAAATGAAACTAAAGAGACAGCTGTTGTTTAATTGTATTGCTGATCCCTAGTATGAAATTTAATTATAAGCTTGGCCAGCAATTTTGGAGAATTTGGTGTCTCTGCAATCATAATGTCAAAGCATACGGTTTCAAAAATGGCCACCGAGTGGAATGACTTGAAGGGACTTTGGAGCACGTTGGAGAGGAAAAGCGCATTTAAACCCGTGTGAACAGCCCCTTAGTGTTATTGTGAAAAGTGTTTTCTCATGAGTGTGTGTGTGTGTTGTTTGTCAGGGTGTGTCATCAGAAGCCCCCCGCGAGCTGCAGTCAGCACCTGAAGAAGCTGCTGTCGCACTGTGAGGACGTCTACACGCATTATAAACTGGCCTACGAGCACCAGTTCCTGGACGTGGCCAACATGCTGCTGCAGGACTCCAAGACCAACAGCTTCCTGAAGGACCGCCTCCGCACCTAACCAGCCAATCACAGAGCAGACACACCGGAGCTCATCAATATTCATGAGGACAGTCATTCATTAATAATGAGCAGTTATCATACACTAACAGCAGTGTTCAGAGTGTTCAGAAAATGCCTTAATCAAGAGTTTATATTATATGTGTAAAAATATAATTAATATAAAATGACTTTTTGATGATTTCAGACGTCAGTGTTTTTTGTTAACTTTATTGACACGGTAAAATGCTTAAAATTGTTTATTTTAAATAAATTTATAAATTTATTATATTTAATTATATATATATATATAATTTCAGAATGTAAAATATTTTAATTACCACATTTAAAATATTTTATTACATAACATTAAAATTATTTACTATATTATTTTATAAATCCTGTTCTCTAAAATGTGTCTCAAATAATATTAGATACTATATTAATAAAATAACACTGTAGTCATTATATAATCAAGAAATTTGTACTTTTTATGTAGATTATTTAGAGGTTGTGATATTCTTTAATATAACAGGGGGCGGTCAAAAGAAACTGTCCATAAAGACAGGTGGATAAACAGAGAAGTAGAAAGTTTCCGGAACTACGTCAAATCATTAACATCATTCAGTGTTTTAAACAAATTATTTTTTATAAATTATTTTAATGATAATAAAGATTTTTATAACAATTCAAGATTTTTTTAAATCAAACTTTGATGCATCACTTGCTTTTGTTCTTATCTCGGACAGTTCTACATAATAAAGTTTATTAAAATATGAATGACAACAGAACATGGGCAGCTTTATAAATATATTTTTTTACTATATCAAGACTTAAAGCAAAAATAAGTACAGTTACTAAAAAATACAGATGTTTTTTAGATTTAGATTTAGCCCGCTTAACAATTCACACATTACCATCTGGCTAGTTTCTGTCCTCTACTTATGCTAAAAAAGCAATAATTGTCCAACATCCCTGACCATTATCACTTATAAAGCCTAGAAAGAGGGCATCAGTATGTAATAAACCGATAGGTTCAGATATTCCTTTCCAGATATCAAAGAAATAATCTGTTCCTTCATTTTAGTTTTGTAACTATTAAATTGTTTTCAATTCTAAATTGTGACATATACATCAGTGTAAACATCTATGACTGGTGGACAAACATATTCTGGAATTGTGTACCACTTTTGCCGTGGCCTCTTTTGGCTTTAACAAACTCATCCCTCTGGTTTTTCCAAACATTTTAACAAAAACTTTCCTCCTTTCCAGCCAAGAAATATTGATCATCTGTTTATTTCTATGATCACGGATCATAAAGATGTCTGTACATACCTGTCATTCATTCATTCATTATCTTGTCAGATTAGTCCCTTTATTAATCTGGGGTCGCCACAGCGGAATGAACTGCCAACCTATCCAGCACATTTTTACGCAGCAGATGCCTTTCTAGCCGCAACCCATCTCTGGGAAACCTCAACACACACATTCACACACACACTCATACACTACTGACAATTTAGCCTACTCAATTCACCTGTAGCGCATGTCTTTGGACTGTGGGGGAAACCGGAGCACCCGGAGGAAACCCACGCGAACGCAGGGAGAACATGCAAACTTCACACAGAAACACCAACTGAGCCGTGAGGCGACAGCGCTACCTACTGCGCCACTGCTCCGCCCCTGTACAGACCTGTTTCATATTTAAATCAAATTAAGCCCGGCGCCGCACACTGTTCACTCAAGTCTCAAAAAACATCATGCGCTCCGCCAGCCGAAATCATGTCGTGCGTTCCCAAAGCAAAACTCCGCAATGACATCACATTCAAGTAGAGGACGCGTCAAGTATAAACCAGCCTTTTTTTTATTGTATTTACTCAAGAATATTTTGGAAAGGTTTGGAATTGTTTATTAATAAAAATGGAGTATAACATGGATTCTCCTACCACTGCTATGCTGATGATACCCAGCTATACCTCTATTTTCACCCTGATGATCCCTCGGTTCCAGCTCGTATCTCAGCCTGCCTGTTGGACATTTCACACTGGATGAAAGATCATCATCTTCAGCTGAACCTCACGAAAACAGAAATGCTTGAAGTTTCTGCCAACCCGACTCTACATCATAACTTTTCAATCCAGATGGATGGGGCAACCATTACTGCATCCAACATGGTGAAAAGCCTTGTAGTAAAGATTGATGACCAACTAAACTTCTCTGACCACAGACTGCTCGATCGTGCAGATTCGCACTCTATAACATCAGAAAGGTCCGACCCTTCCTATCTGAACATGCAGCTCAACTCCTTGTTCAAGCTCTTGTTCTCTCCAGACTGGACTATTGCAACTCTCTACTAGCCGGGCTTCCAGCTAACTCTATCAAACCTCTTCAACTGCTCCAGAATGCAGCAGCACGAGTGGTCTTCAATGAAGCTAAAAGAGCACATGTCACTCCGCTGCTCATCCGTTTGCACTGGCTGCCAGTTGCTGCTCGCATCAAATTCAAAGCTTTGATGTTTGCCTACAAAGTGACTTCTGGCTTTGCTCCTTCTTATCTGCTCTCACTTCTGCAGATCTATGTGCCTTCCAGAAACTTGCGTTCTGTGAATGAACATCGCCTCGTGGTTCCATCCCAAAGAGGGAAGAAATCACTTTCCCGAACTCTCGCATTCAATCTGCCCAGTTGGTGGAATGAACTCCCTAACTGCATCAGAACAGCAGAGTCACTCGCTGTCTTCAAGAAACCACTAAAAACTCAACTATTTAGTCTCCACTTTCCTCTGCAATTCCCTCTCTGACTCCTCCACTAACTACTACACACACACACACACACACAAATATTACTAATGTTTTGCTTCTTAGACTTTACACACCTGAAACTTGCCTACAGCACTTATTCATTGTTGCTCTTATAGTTGTGTAAATCGCTTCCTTGTCCTCATTTGTAAGTTGCTTTGGATATAAGCGTCTGCTAAATGACTAAATGTAAATGTATAAGATACCATATACATAAGAAAAAGTGGGCTCAATCTAAACCAAACTTTAACCATTTTGTATATGTACATTTTTTAGAACGATCACAAAACAAAAAAGCACTCAAATCTTTTTCTAAAAGATTTGCATGTAGTGCTCTGACAGCATTTAATTTCAAGTAAATGTAATTTTACTTTATTTTTTTAAATACATATTTGTTTTTTCTCTTTCAGAAACGATGTGAAATGTAATACCTCTCGTTCTTGTGGCGCCGAGTTAATAAAAAAAAAAAGTGCAGACAGAAAACAAAAGTATAAACCAGGCTTTGCAGTAGTCTTGGAAGTTATCATGCATATTAATGAAGTTGCACCTCATACACAATAGAGCGCGCTGATTGGATTGAAACAAGTCTTTCTCATGAATAATGCTGAAAGCTCAAAGACGTCATGCTGCACCTGCAGGCGTCCAGTCTCCACACTGGAGTTTACACAAGGATCTCATGGCCGTGACGCAGCTTCTAAAATTCTTTTCAAACCGGAAGAACGAATTTGCTGGAAATAAAAACAACCAATGTTCACTCTTTAGTGAGATATACGTGTCCTAATAGTGCTTATAGCCATGTGGGACACATATACGACTGTCAACATCTCAAAACATGTGTTTTACTGTTTCGTGACCCTTTAAATAATGAATGCACCAAGCAAAATAAATAGTGAACGTGTGTCTTTTAGAAGAAAAATAAAAACAGAAAGCATCTAAACCGGCAGATATTTGTCTCATTTCAAACAAAACCGTTTAATGTTACTGTCTCTTTAGCATCTCCACTAAAAGCATCTTGATTTCAGACCATTTCCTCTGTGTTATTTTGGCTCTTGTGAATCCAGCAGCGCTTTATATCACTCAGCGCCTCTCTGATTACTGTAAATACAGTCTGAATGAGTTTAATCAGAGTTACACAGATTGATGATCGGGAATGAAGTCTGACTGCAGACGAATCAATGATTTAAAGATTTATTATCCCTCTGCAGCTCCCCCCAGACCCCAAACCACAGCAGGTGCAGCGCTGATATTCATATATACACTCAGCGGCCACTTTACTAGGGACACCTTACTAGTACCAGGTTGGACCCTTTTTTGCCTTAATCCTTCGTGGTGTAGATTCAACAAGCTACTGGAAATATTCCTCAGAGATTTTGCTCCATGTTGTCATGATAGCATCACACAGCTGCTGCAGATTTGTCTGCACATCCATGATGCCAATCTCCCGTTCCACCACATCCCAAAGCTGCTCTATTGGATTGAGTTCTGGGGACTGTGGAGGACATTTGAGTACAGTGATCTCATTGTTATGTCCAAGAAACCAGTCTGAGATGATTCACGCTTTATGACTTGGAATATCACAATTTCAGTAGATCAGCAGTTTCTGAAATACTCAGAGCAGCCCACATGGCAGCAACAACCATGCCACGTTCAAAGTCACTTAAACCCCCTTTCTTCCCCATTCTGATGCCCAGTTTGGCCTGCAGCAGATCGTCTTGATCATGTCTACATGCCTAAATGCATTGAGCTGCTGCCATGTGATTGGCTGATTAGACATTTGCGTTAACGGGCAGTTGGACAGGTGTACCTAATAAAGTGGCCAGTGAGTGTAAATGTCTTACTTTTAAAAATGAGACTTCTCCACATCCTATAGACGTGAATCCTCTCTATGTCTTGCGCTTGGGAAAGAAAAAGTGTCTGACTGTGTTTATTAAAGGCAAGGCTCTGCAGTAATGGGATATAAGAGACGGCAGCGTATAAATCAGAGGAGGAATATAATCAGCTCTGCAGACTTTAATCAGATTATATGATAGTTTAACCTCCTGACACACAACATTATTCTCTAATGGACTGAAAACAGAGATTAGAGACGTCATAAAGCTCAGCATCAAGCGGAGAAGAGCAGAGACTCACATTTACTGTTTTATTCCAGGAACAAACTTGATCATTGAGATCGTCTGCTCCACCGAGACTCCAGCGGCGCCGGCGCTATTCCTGGATGCTTCATTTCACACTTAAATAGTTTTATTCTGTGCTTCTGTGTGTGTGTGTGTGTGTGTTTTGTATTCATTACAATGTGGGATCAAAATGTCCCCACAAATATAGCAATACCAGTAATTCTTGACCTCATGGGGACGTTTGTTTTTATTTGTTCCTCATGAGGAAAACGGCTCATAAATCTGACAGAATGAAGTATTATGCAAATTTACGATAGAGGAGAGAATTTACACTCTGTACCATACAAACACACACATATACTGCAGTAGGTGCAGCTCAACTCTCCCGTTTCACCCCAAAACTGTTGGTCTGGAGCTCCACAGGGCATGGCTGGACTCCTATAACCAAAACTTCGGTCACTTATGCTAATGATAAACGTTGGTTTCTATGGTCCAGCATCAAAAATCTGGGGTTGTGGACAATGTGAAACATGTATTGTTCTCTGATGAGTCCACCTACACACCCAGGAGAGTTACGGTGTGGAGAAGCCCCAATGAAGCATCCCACCCAGACTACTGATGCCCAGAGTGAAGCATTGGAGAGATCCGTGATGGTTTGGGCTCAATATTATGGCATTGCCTGGGCACAATACTTGTGCTAATTGGACGCTGGGTCACTGCCAAGGACTTCCCAACCATTCTGGTGAGACCATCTTCACTGTCTTTCCCACATCCAGGAGAGTTACATTGTGGAGAAGCCCCAAAGAAGCGTCCCACCCAGACTGATGCATGTGCAGAGTGAAGCATTGGGGGGACCATTAATGGTTTGGGCTCAATATCATGGTGTTCCCTAGGCCCAATACTGGTGCTAGATAGGCGTTGTGTCACTGCCAAGGACTAGTCAACCATTCTGGTGAGTCCACCTTCACTGTCTTTCCCACATCTGGGAGAGTTATGGTGTGGAGAAGCCCCAAAGAAGCGTCCCATCTAGACTGCTGTACCCAGAGTGAAGCATGGGGGGGATCGGTGATGGTTTGGGCCCATTATCACGGCATTCTCTAGGCACAATACTGGTGCTAGATAAGCGCTGGTTCACAGCCAAGGACTACCCAACTATTCTGGAGAGTCCACCTTCACTGTCTTTCCCACATCTGGGAGAGTTATGGTGTGGGGAAGCCCCAAAGAAGCGTCCCACCCAGACTGCTGATGCCCAGAGTGAAGCATGTGGGTTCAGTGATGGTTTGGGCTCAATAACATGGCGTTCTCTAGGCACAATACTTGAGCTAGATGAGTGCTGGGTCACTGCCAAGGACTACCCAACCACTCTGGAGGACCATGTGACCCGGGAAAATAATGCACCGATACACACAGCAAGACTGCGTGGTTTGATGAACATTAAAGTCAAGTTGAACATCTCCCATGGCCCGCACAGTACCCAGACCTAAACTTTATTGAGCACTTTGGGGTGTTTTGGAGGAGCGAGTCTGGAATGTTTTCCTCCACCAGCAAAATTCCTCTGGCCGCTGTGCAGGACTGGTGTCTGTCATTCCCAATACCAACTGATGCTGTATTGGTCGCAAAAGAAGGCTCCACACCCAGGGCCGGCGCGTCCATAGAGGCGACCTAGGCGGCAGTATAGAGAGGGCAGCGTCCACGAGACCTCCCTTACCACCCGCGTCCTCAGTTATGTCCGTGACACCTCCCTCACCACCCGCGTCTTTAGATATATTCGCGCATAGGCGACAGAATAGAGAGGGCAGCGTCAGCGACACCTCCATCAGCACCCGCGCGTCCTCAGTTATATCCGTGCATAAGGCAACATAATAGTGAGGGCAGTGTCCGCGACACCTTCCTCCCTCCCACCCTCGCTCGCGTCCTCAGTTATATCCGCGCAAATGGGCGGCAGAATAGAGGTCTGCGACACCTCACTTCATTTTCAAAACCGGTCACTTTCGTTTTCACATTGGGGTTGATTGGCGTGATCGTCCTCTGCCTAGAGCAGCAGTTCAGCTTGCTCCGGCCCTGTCCACACCATACTAATGAACAACTGTGCTCTAAAAACCAGGCCTCGTCCAAGCCCTGTAAACGGTGAGTATATTTTCATTTTTGGGTGAACTATTCCATTAACGGTACTGTTTATACGCTAACTAACCTAACCCTATAACTATACCCCTAAACCAGGCATGTCCAAACTCGGTCCTGGAGGGCCGGTGTCCAGCAAAGTTTAGTTCCAACCAGGCCCGGCGCCAGGAAGTCAAAACTGAGGGGGCACTTTAAATCCATAGGGGGGCACTAGACCTGGTGACTGATTTTGGTCTCTTGTTTCTTTCATTTAGGCTATTTATTCGCATTTATTATTACTTTGCATTACTGCCTAAGTTACTGACCTAAGGCAGTAATATAGGCTACGTTTTAATAGTAATATACGCAGTTTCGCTATTACGAATTTTATTAACGATGGTAATGCATACCGCTTATTAATGCAGACGGATCATGGCTTCAGTGCCAAACGAGTGCTTTAAATCATATGTTATTCTCCTTATTTCCGTTTTATTTCAAATAACAGCCCTATGAATGTTTAAAGTTTTAGGTAAAGACGTCAAATTATGCCCAGACATGCAAGCTGACCCACGATCAGACAATTCATTTAACCGGTAAATAAATATAGTGAAATCAGCTTAACCGAGTCATCACGCTTCACAACCAACATCAGTGTTGGGGAAAAGCTAAATGTGACAATCTAATGTCATTCAAAACAATTACTTAGTTACATTTTAAGGCATTAGTGTAGCCAGAAAAATACCTAAAAAAGATACAAAAATTCACAGTTATTACCGTGAAAATTGGTTAAATTTTTATATGCTATATAACTTTTTTTTTTCATCATTTTAAATGTAAAAACAAAGATTTGTCTAAGGCTATTATAAATGTGCTTTTTTCGTGATATTGTAAACCATCATAAACCATATGTACCATAGTTTCTAGGCCTATCCGTCATTTTATTTATTAATTATTTTATTTATTAGGCCTTTTTAATAGCTTGTTTTCAGGTTATTTTCATTTTAGGGCCATGAGCTAAGTCAAAACAAACTCGATATGTTGTATTTTAGCTCTTAAAACAGATCTACAATATATTTTATGTTGTTTAATTTTGCATGAGCAAATAGCAGTATAGCCTAAGTTACATACTTTTAAAAGATTATCATTCTGCCTACCTGCAGCGCACGAGATTTCTCGGTTGATCCGCGGTAAATCCACTTAAGCACTATACCTATTCCATTTATAACACTGCAAACTTGACTTCGCAGGCCGATCATCTTTAAACGCAAAATGCATTTATTATGTGTTATACCTTGACTGCAGTTGCATAATGGGATGTTTCTCTACGCAACTGTAAAAGTGCACTTTTCAGCAAAATGAAAGCAAACATTCAAAGGGTTCTGCGTTTTGTCAATTTTAGCTTAATTGTAATAATATTAATAATAATATTAATAAATAAATAAAAATATTATTTATAGTGTAGCCTACTGTGGGACTGTGCAGTAAACTATTTATTTTTATTAAAACATTTTTATTAGGCTACATCTTCCCGAATAACTAATAAATGACTGGCAGTTGCGTCTCTGCTAAAATTAATTTAACAGCAAATTTCTTATGTGTTTTTTCCTTTTAGAGCTCAAGAGAATTGTGTTTAAATAATTAGTTAACCAAAACATGTAATGAATTAAGCTGCTTCTATCATGTCACCCATTTTCTCCCTTGTGAGTTGAGTGCGCCTCCATCGCCGTGTGCGCGTTTTAAAGGCTATTTACGGGCGCACCAGACCTGACGCGGGGACCGGATCTCTGAACTATAGGACTAGCTTTAACCTCACCATTTTCATAATTTAATTGCTATGTCATATATTTTAAAATATTTAAATGTGTGTTCTGAAGGTTGGAAGGACGGGAGTGTTAATAATTAATGACAGAAAGAATTTTCAGTTTGAGTGAACAATCCTTTATAAAAACTGGGGGGGCACAAACTCTGTCTGAGGGGGCAATGCCACCCTTTGCCCCCCCGTAGCGCCGGGCCTGGTTCCAACCCCAATCAGACACACCTGGGCTATCTAATCAAGCTCTTCCTAGGCTTTCCAGAAACATCATTGGAGGTGTGTTGAAGCAAGTTGGAGCTAAAATCTGCAGGACACCGGCCCTCCAGGACTGAGTTTGGACACCCCTGCCCTAAACCAACACTCGCAGAAACAACTGCTGCCCATGAGATACTAATTAAATCATCTTCTGGTTGATTCATAAGCACTGTTAGTTAGACAGGAGCAGTGAAATGTCAACACTAGTGTCTCGTTTTGATATCTCACTATAAAGGTCCGGACAATTGAGACCTCACAAGTGTAGATAAACCAGCACACACACTCATTTACTCATACAGAGAGAGAAACACACACACATTTACTCAAACACATACAGAGAGAGAGAGAGAGAGAGAGAGAGAGAACTCGCGCCCGCGACTTCATCTCTTCTTTGCTTCCCGGGCGCGTTCTCAATGCGCGTCACTGTTCGTCAGAGAGCGCGCGTGTGTGTCGGTGTTTCTTGTGTCTCCTCCGGTGACTCGTGCTCTCTCGGTGCCGGTGTGTCGGTGATGGGCTCCGGCGGGACTCTGGCTCTGCTGAGCGCGGCTCTGCTCCTGCACGGTACGGTACCGAACGCTGCATTCATTCACCGCCATTCAGTCAAACCAGTTTCCTCTGTAGTTTGAGTTTGTTGCTGCTGTGAGCTCTTACTGGACTCTCAATTCTTACTGGAGAAATAGTTGAAGCTGTGTTTATTTATTTTGAGCTTCATTCTACCATGGTAAATCATATATGTTGTAGATTTTGCAGTTTATTAATTTTGAATTTGCGGAAAGCACTATTTGATGTGCTTAATTAGATTTCCTAATATATATATATATATATATATATATATATAATTATGAAATATCCTATAATTTATTTTGGTATTCTATTCTTTTCGTTTACCAATTATGTTTAATTGCTTATTTATATATATATATTTTTATCTAAAAATATGTTATAGGCTACAGTCTAAATAAATTATGGGCTGTCGTATTCCACAGTTGGGTCAAATATAAACAAACCCAACCCAATGTGTTAAAAAGTATGCTAGATAACATTAAATATGAATGATTAAACCATGAAATAATAAAAATGATAGAAATGTTAAATGATAATGAGCATTAAACACAAGAATACACGTGTTTCCCACTAAATACTGTAGTAAATACTTCATAGAAAAAACTGCTTCATTTTTCAGCCATGTGTATTATACTGTATGATATCTATTGTATTATTTGTGTAATTCTTGCATGTGTGTGTGTGTGTGTTGTGGATGTGTGTCTTTGTATTTATGTTGTGTGTGTGTGTGTGTATATATATGTTTATGTGTGTCTATATGTCTGCCCGTGTGTTTGTATTTATGTTGTATGTCTGTGTACTCGTCTGTCTCTATGTGTGTGTGTTTGTATACATGTTGTTTTGTGTGTGTGTGTGTGTGTATATATATGTTGTGTGTCTGTGTATTTGTCTGTCTCTATGTGTGTTTGTATACATGTTATTGTGTGTGTGTGTGTGTGTGTGTGTGTGTGTGTGTGTGTGTGTGTGTTTGTTTGTATATGTACGTTATGTTTGTGTGTACGTTTTTGTCGGCAAATATGTTTGGGTAAATGTCTGCTTGTGTGTTTGTGTATATGTTGTGTGTGTGGGTTTATATATATATATATATATATATATGTATATATGTTTACGTTTGTCTATATATTTATTTGTGTGTGTGTGTGTGTGTGTGTGTGTGTGTGTGTGTGTGTGTGTGTGTGTGTGTGTGTGTGTGTCTCTCAGTGTCTCTTCAGGGTGAGCACCAGCGCCGGCTCTACAGAGACCTGATGAAGAACTATAATCCTCTAGAGAGACCCGTCTATAACGACTCGCACTCGCTGACCGTCCACTTCAGCTTCAGCCTCATGCAGATCATGGACGTGGTCAGTCTCTCACTCACACACACACACACACACACACACACACACACACACACACACACAGAAAAATACTCTTACATTCTCTTTATCTCTCTCTCTCACACACACACACACACAATTGATCATGCACACTCAAACACACAAACATGGACAAGCATACACTTTCTCACATGCACACACACACTGGCACACACACAAATACGCATGAAGACACAAAAAAACTCTCTTAAATTTTCTTTCTCCCTCTCTCTTACTTACACACACACACACACACACACACACACACACACACACAAGAATACACTCTTACATTCTCACACACACACACACACACACACACACACACATATAATCAGACACACTCAAACACACAAATTTGCACAAGCATACACTCACTCACACATGTAAACACACACATATACATATTCACTCATATTCACGAACACACTTATACTGTATAAACACACACACTGTCTCACACACATGCACAAACATTAATTCTCTCTCACACACACAAATGTAAACGCTCTCTCGCTCACACACAACAACACAAACACACACAGACACTCAAACCAACACGCATGCAGAAAAATACACACTCACAAAAACACACACCCACAAACCCAGACTCTCTCTCTCTCTCTCACACACATTAACACAGTCTCTCTCTTTTATACACAGACGCACACCTCAGTGACCGTGAGTGTGTGGCAGGGGTTTGAAAAGCTCATACATCATTATCATATTAGCGAAGCTCTTTAAACTCAGACTCGCAGCCAATATTAATGAGCTGAACACACACACACACACACAAAATCAAGTAGAGCGCTGAACTGAGAAACACACACACACACAAACACTGTATGCTTCCTCAGACGACACAAGCACACACATCTTCAACACAACAACCTGACAAATGCCTCAAATGCAGCATCTGAACTGTGGTATAATTGTAATAATGCACTCTCAGCCATTACGTTATTAGAAAATAATACACACCTGAAGTCTAACAGCCACATTATCACCCGCATGAACTAACTTTACCCCTGAATAAACATACACAAAGAGCACTGATCACACGCACTCACCAAATCTGTAGCGACAGGACAATCAACACCAACTGGAGCCGCGTCTTTATTAAAAGAAGACGAGCGGCAAATCCGGATTTCACCAAACACAACTCTGACGACCCGTGTCTCCAAACAATTCTTCTTCCACTTGTTTTAATTACGCTTGGCAACACAACATGGCGTCTCTCTGAACACTGTAACATGTAAAAGGAGTCGTCAAAGCCATATCATGCATATTAATGAAGTTTCATCTCGTTCACAATAGAGGGCGCCGATTGGTTCGAACAAAGTCTTTCCCATGAATTAATGCTGAAAACTTGACGTCTTTTTGTACCGTAATTTGTATTTATGTTCAGGATATGTTCCTTTTATCTTCTAGTTATGTTCAGGATAGGCTCTAGTTATGTTCAGGATGTTTTTGTTATATTCAGGATATGATCTTTTTTTGTTCAGGATATGTTTAGGTTATGTTCAGGGTATGTTCCTTTTATGTTATAGTTATGTTAAGGATATGTTCTAGTTATGTTCAGGATATGTTTTTGTTATATTTAGGATATGTTCTTTTTATGTTCAGGATTATGTTTAGGCTATGTTCAGGGTGTGTTCCTTTTATGTTCTAGTTATGTTCAGTATATGTTTTGGTTATACTCAGGATATGTTCTTTATGTTCTAGTTATGTTCAGAATATGTTTAGGTTATGTTCAGGATATGTTCCTTCTATGTTCTAGTTATGTTCAGGATATGTTTTGGTTATATTCAGGATGTTCTTTTTTATGTTCAGGATATGTTTAGGTTATGTACAGGGTATGTTCCTTTTATGTTCTAGTTATGCTCAGGATATGTTTTGGTTATACTCAGGATATGTTCTTTATGTTCTAGTTATGTTCAGGATATGTTTAGGTTATGTTCAGGATATGTTCCTTCTATGTTCTAGTTATGTTCAGGATATGTTTTGGTTATGTTCAGGATATGTTTCTTTTATGTTCTAGTTATGTTCAGGATATGTTTTGGTTATATTCAGGATGTTCTTTTTTATGTTCAGGATATGTTTAGGTTATGTTCAGGGTATGTTCCTTTTATGTTCTAGTTATGTTCAGGATATGTTTTGGTTATACTTAGGATATGTTCTTTATGTTCTAGTTATGTTCAGGATATGTTTAGGTTATGTTCAGGATATGTTCCTTCTATGTTCTAGTTATGTTCAGGATATGTTTTGGTTATGTTCAGGATATGTTTCTTTTATGTTCTAGTTATGTTCAGGATATGTTTTGGTTATATTCAGGATATGTTCTTTTTTATGTTTAGGATATGTTTAGGATATGTTCCTTTTATGTTCTAGTTATGTTCAGGATATGTTTTGGTTATATTCAGGATATGTTCTTTTTATGTTCAGCATATGTTTTGGTTATGTTCAGGATATGTTTCTTTTATGTTCTAGTTATGTTCAGGATATGTTTTGGTTATATTCAGGATATGTTCTTTTTTATGTTTAGGATATGTTTAGGTTATGTTCAGGGTATGTTCCTTTTATGTTCTAGTTATGTTCAGGATATGTTTTGGTTATACTTAGGATATGTTCTTTATGTTCTAGTTATGTTCAGGATATGTTTAGGTTATGTTCAGGATATGTTCCTTTTATGTTCAAGTTATGTTCAGGATGTGTTCTAGTTATGTTCAGGATATGTTTTTGTTATATTCAGGATATGTTCTTTTTATGTTCAGCATATGTTTTGGTTATGTTCAGGATATGTTTCTTTTATGTTCTAGTTATGTTCAGGATATGTTTTGGTTATGTTCTGAATATGTTTCTTTTGTGTTCTTGTTATGTTCAGGATATATTCTCTTTATTTTCTGGTTATATTGAGAATATGTTTTGGTTATGTTTAGGACATCTTCTCTTTATGTTCTTGTTATATTCAGGATATGTGTTGGGATATGGGTTAGCGTCTGGTTATGTTCAGGTTATCATCTGGCTATGTTTTTTATGCTCTGGCTATGTTCAGGATATATGATGGTTATGTTCAGACTATGCTTTGTTTAAGTTGTAGTTATGTTCAAAATATACAGTATCATGGGCATGTTGAGGATATGTTTCCTTTATATTCTGGTTATGTTCTCTTTATGTTCTAGTCACATTCAGTATCTGTTTTCTTTTTGTTTGGTTATACTCAGGTTATTTTCGGGCTATGTTTTTATGTTCTGGTTATGTGTAAGATATATTATGGTTAATAGCAATAGAAGTTTATGGAAAGTCCCCACAATTCACAAAAACCTAAAAATGTGTGTTTGAAAGTTATGTTGTATTTTTAGATTATATATAATATATCTATGTATGTGTAATATGTGCGTGCATATTTTTACAGCAGATGTCTTCAGCTGATTCGCACACAGTCAGATGTGATGTGATTCAGCAGCTGTGTGTGTGTGTGTGTGTGTGTGTGTGTATGTGTTCACCACATCCCTTCATGCTCTACATATAAAAGTGATTTAATATTTATTTATTTATTACGTTTGTTTGTGTTTGATGCTGATGTGACGTCAGAAAGGCACAGCTCACCGAAAAATGAAAGTTCTGCCATCCTTTACTTCTTTAAAACCCTTATCAGTCTCTTTCTTCTGTTAAACCAAAAATAAGATAGTTTGAAGAATGCTGAAAGCCTGTAACCAATGACTTCAATTGTATTTATTTTCCAAATGGAAGTCAATGGTTACAGGTTTCCAGCTTTCTTCAGAATATTCTCTTTAGTGTTCAACAGATTAAAGAAACTGCTTTGAGGCCACTAGTGAGTGCATTTTGGCGTACTGTCCCTTTAAGGAGATCTCCACACAGGAAGGTCTCTGTTGGATAAAGAAAGACTCAAATCCGTTTAGAGAAAGAGCATGTCTGTTTCTCATCCGCAGATATTTGACAAACCCAGTCTGGATCTCCTGCAGATGCTGTTTCTGTATTTATAATTGCTGATCTGATCTGGGATGCAGATTTCAGAGGCACTGATCCGGCTGAGCTCATCCTTCATTTTTTATTATTCCCGTTTTCAATCTCTGTTCCAAAAACACACCTGATGCCTCGACACCTGCTCACGTCAAGCTAAATCTGCTTTTTTCACTGAAACATCCAGCAAAAAGAGCACACAGGATATGTTCCTTTCATGTTCTAGTGATGTTCAGGATATGTTTTGTTTATGTTTATTTTATGTTCTAGTTATGTTCAGGATATGTTTTAGTTATGTTCAGGATATGTTACTTTTATGTTCTAGTTATGTTCAAGATATGTTTTGGTTATGTTCAGGATATGTTCCTTTTATGTTCTGGTTATGTTCAGGATATGTTTTGGTCATGTTCAGGATATGTTCTGATGTTCAGGATATGTTTCGGTTATGTTCAGGATATGTTCCTTTTATTTTCTAGTTATGTTCAAGATATGTTTTGGTTATGTTCAGGATATGTTCCTTTTATATTCTGGTTATTTTCAGGATATGTTCCTTTTATGTTCAAGATATGTTTTGGTTATGTTCAGGATATGTTCGTTTTATGTTCTAGTTATGTTCAAGATATGTTCAGGATATGTTTCTTTTATATTCTGGTTATGTTCAGGATATGTTTTGGTCATGTTCAGGATATGTTCAGGATATGTTCAGGATATGTTCCTTTTATGTTCTAGTTATGTTCAGGATATGTTTTGGTTATGTTCAGGATATGTTCGTTTTATGTTCTAGTTATGTGCAGGATATGTTTTGGTTATGTTCAGGATATGTTCGTTTTATGTTCTAGTTATGTGCAGGATATGTTTTGGTTATTCAGGATATGTTTGTTTTATGTTCTAGTTGTGTTCAGGATATGTTTTAGTCATGTTCAGGATATGTTCATTTTATGTTCTAGTTTTGATCAGGATATATTCTCTTTATATTCTGGTTATGTTCAGGACATGTTCTCTTTATGTTCAGGTTACCGTCTGGTTATGTTTGTTTATGTTCTGGCAATGCTCCGGACATATTATAGTTATGTTCAGCCTATGTTTTGTTTAATTTTTGTTCAGGATATGCTCTTTTTTGTTCCAGTTATGTTTAGGATATGTTCTCCTTATATTTTGGTTATGTTTAGGATATGTTTTGTTTTAGGTTATGTTTAGGATATGTTCTCCTTATGTTCTGGTTATGTTTAGGATATGTTTTGTTTCAGGTTATGTTTAGGATATGTTCTTCTTATGTTCTTGTTATGTTTAGGATATTTCGTAATGTTCAGGTTATGTTTGAAATGTTCTCTTTGTGTTCTAGTTATGATCAGTTTAGCTTCTGATTATGTTTGTTTATGTTGCTGTAATACGTATGTTTTAAATTATGAATGCACTGACATTAACAGAAGATCTCCAGTTCTTTATGGCCTTTAAAATGACGTCTGTTCTTGTTTGTGTTTCATTTTCAGGATGAGAAAAACCAGGTCTTAACAACAAACATCTGGCTCCAGCTGGTAAGAGAAGTCACACTTCATAAAGAGGCAGCATATTCTATTCTATTCTGTTCTGTTCTGTTCTGTTCTGTTCTGTTCTGTTCTGTTCTATTCTATTCTGTTCTGTTCTATTCTGTTCTATTCTATTCTATTATTTAAAATTAATACAATTAATAAAATTAATACAATTAATAATGGGCAGCGTGGTGGCGTAGTGGTTAGCACTGTGGCCTCATAGCAAGAAGTGTCGCTGGTTTAAATCCCGGCAGGGCCAGTTGGCATTTCTGTGTGGAGTTTGCATGTTCTCGCCATGTTGGCTCAGGTTTTTTTCCGGTTGCTCCGGTTTCCCTCACAGTCCAAACACATGCACTATAGGGGAATTGATTAACTAAATTCTTCTTAGTGTATGTGTGTGTATGGGTGTTTCCCATATATAGTTAAATAGTTGATGGTTCATTCCCCTGTGGTGACCCCTGATGAGCTGAAGGAAAATTAATGAATTAATGATTTTTTCACTCATATATTTACATGCATTAATTTATATTCATATGCAATTAAATGACACAACTCTGACTTAATTTCTGAGATTTGTCTCTTTCTATCACATGATTCTAACTTTATTATGAGCTTATATCATTCTGATGCTGCAGCAGATCGTCTTGACCATATCTACATGCCTAAATGCATTGACCTGCTGCCATGTGACTGGCTGATTAGACATCTGCACTAACGAGCAGTTAGATAGGTGTACCTAATAAAGTGGCCGGTGAGTGCATTTAACAATATTATTAGCCCCCTTGTTTTGATTGGCTACAGAATAAGCCATGACAGCTTGACTCAGAGTTATGACTTTCAGGCTAATCTAAGAATTCAGAGATTACAATTTGCAAATGGGACTTTCAATCTAAAAATCCAGACTTTTTTTTCTTAAAATTGCGAGTTTATATCAGTCAATCCTGAAAATGTAACTCACAATTTCAAGCTTACATCTCACAATTCTGAGAAAATCTGAGATAAAAAGGTCACAATTATTTTTTGTATTTGTTCAAATTCAGTGTTTAAAGGGACTAAGCCGAAGAGAAAGGAAATAATGAATGAACTGAGTGTTGTAAACGGGCTTCGTGTGCGTGTGTTGTTGACTTGTGTTCATGTGGAGACAGAGAGTCTGACCTGAACGCATCTGAAAGTCTGCTTTATGAAATGATGAAGAGAAGAGCGAATGAATGACGGAGTCTTAATGTCATCTAAACAGAGCAAATCCAGCAGAAGAGAATCTCTCCATCTGTTCAGCTGTGTATAGTTCACACACAGCTACAGGCGCTGTTTTACTGCTCAGCACACTTTACTGGCTTTATTTATTTATTTATTTATTTATTTATTTGCCAGCCATGACCATGCATCCAGAATAACTGCTGAAACACATCTGTTTAAATAAAACGTAATCTATATTTAAAGTAAAATATACTTTGTTTAAACTTTAATATATACTCACCGGCCACTTTATTAGGTACACCTGTCCAACTGCTCGTTAATGCAAATTTCCACTCCGCCAATCACATGGCAGCAGCTCACTGCATTTAGGCATGTAGACATGGTCAAGACGATCTGCTGCAGTTCAAAGCGAGCGTCAGAATGGGGAAGAAAGGGGATTTAAGAGACTTTGAAGGTGGCATGGTTGTTGCTGCCTGGGTCTGAGTATTTCAGAAACTGCTGATCTACTGGGATTTTCACACACAACCATCTCTAGGGTATACGGAGAATGCCCCACTATTATTTAAATTGTTGTTATTATTATTATTAATATTATTATAATTTTGAATATTATTATTATTTATTATTATTATTTTATAATCATCATTATTATTATTATTGTTATTATCACATTATTTTTATTATTAATATTATCTTTATTTTTATTATAATTATTATTATATTGTGTTATTATTATTATTAATATTAATAATATTATTATCATTATTATTATTATGACTATTATTATTATTATTATTAATAATAATAATTTAATTTTTATTATTATCATTATTGTTATTATTATTATTTATCATTATTATCATCCATATTAATATTATTATTAATATTATTTATATTTTTACTATAATTATTATCATTATTGTTATTATTATTATTTATCATTATTATTATTAGTAGTAGTAGTAGTAGTATTTTTATTATAATTTTTATCATTATTGTTATTATTATTATTGTTTATTATTATTATTATAAATATTATTATTATTCATAATAATATTATTTGTATTTTATAAACATAATTATTGTTATTATTATTATTTATCAGTTATTATTATCATTATTTTATTATTATTATTATTATTATTGATATTTTTATAATAATAAAAACTAATTTTATTATGTATTATTATAATTATTATTAATATTATTTTTTATTATTACAATTATCATTATTTTCATTATTAATTATTAATATTGTTATTATTATTATTAATTTTTTTTTATTACAATTATCATTATTTTCATTATTAATTATTAATATTGGTATTATTATTATTATTATTTTTTATTATTACAATTATCATTATTTTCATTATTATTATTATTGTCATTATTATCATAATAATAATAATTATTATTATTATTTCAGCTCATATTTAGTGTTGTCCAGTGCACTCGTGTTATTAATCTCAGATGTGAAACAGCAGTATTTGTTGAACCTCAGCTTGTGATGATGTATGTTCCTCTGCTCAGCTGCTTTCCTCTAACACTGATCTTTAATGAGTGTTTTATAGTGAGCAGGAGATGAAGATTATAAGCCGCACACACAGCAGAGTCTCAGTAATGCGTTTCTGTGTCCTCCATTCATGCGTTTGGAGGTTATTTCACACCCGCAGCCTTCAGGAAACAAAACTAAACACTGAACACTTCACGTCTGTGCTGTAAACAATAAACCACACACAATGATTAATGGATTGATCGCACAATTCACGAAGCTTTCGGACAAATGTATCACTGAAATACACACTTGGAAAATCCAGCACATGCATATTCATTAATTTTCCTTCTGCTTAGTCCTTTATTTATCAGGGGTCGGCCACAGTGGAATGAACCGCCAACTATTCTAGCACATGTTTTACACAGCGGATACCCTTCCAGCTGTCATCCAGTAGTGGGAAACACCCATACACACTCATTCACACACACACTCATACACTACGACCAATTTAGTTGATCAATTCACCTATAGCGCATGTGTTTGGACTGTGGGGGAAACCGGAGCACCCGGAGGAAACCCACGCCAACACGGGGAGAACATGCAAACTCGTCATTTGTTGCCTGTATGCTTTTTCAAGTGCTTTATTAATGTTTGCATGTTTTCCAGCAGACTGCAGTCATGTTTTCATCATCATGTGAAGTATTTTCAGTTCAGTGTGGCGGAGGCAGGTTTCTCTGCTGAAACCGGATTAAACGCCTCTCAGCTCTCCCAGAAATACACACTCATGCGCTTTACTTTCACTGAGACTCAAAATCACAGCTCAGTTTTCAA